ATTGCGCAAACTAACTATAGACTAAAAGTTGGAATCAGATCGATATCGATTGTTTTTTGTAACGTAAAGATCTTGCCCGAAACCAGAGCACACAGCACCTTGATCAACAAGACATGTACGCATGCATATAGGGAAGGATCAGCTGCGCTGCCGCACTGCGCGTGTTGACATGACTATATACGTGCACTCTGATTTAGGCTTCATTTCTCCACAGCCTGTCGCCTTGCTTCAGCTCCGAAGCGCCCAGCCTGGAGTCACAGAAGGTGAGAAAGGAAGAAGATTTCAGCTAAGTTTCCACCCCTAATCTGTGTTCATCTGGCAGGCGCCAAATGAACACCAATTTGGGGCCAACATTTCTTGCGTAGTGGCACGGGAAAATTGCTAAGAAATGGCTAGAAATGGGCACCGCACCTCACAAAGGATCCCATCCAGCCAATACACATGCCTTTTTCCACCTGAGCAGTGGCGTTTGGCTGAGCACTCGGATACAAGGAGAACAGCAGTCAGCAGTATGCGGAAATGCCATGCCCGACAAAAGTGCTTGGCCTGCTAATTATTCGCAATTGTGTAATTCCGTTTTGTTTGCCAAACACTACCAGCGCCGTGCGCTGACTCACAAGCCCCCAACGCTTTCACCAGCCCACCATGCTTTGACCAGGATATCGTGCAAGATTTTCTAGATGCAATGACCTGGCACGACAAATAAGGGCTAACCTTGCGGAATCTGAAGCCTCACACAGGCTACCAGAGACTTGGACAACCCGCCTTCAACGTCGGCCCGCCCAGTTTTTCAACAACCTTCTCCGCGAAGCCCGTGAAGATTTCGCCCACGAAGAAGGCTCGGGTGGTGAACCTTATACCCTAGGCCTCCAAAAAAATACCTGTGGCCGTTGTTCCTGAGACAAGTGGCAGGACCCCAATGCTTGGCCCTTTGGGAACCAGAAGTGGCAGTGTGAAAGACCTTGGCCAATCAACACGCCCCCAAACTCAAGGCATATTCATACCCGGAATTGCTTCACGACCTGTCAGCGCGTGAGTGAGTGACCTACCCACGAGTGACCTACCCACGACAGTGACTATCATTTAAAACTATGGAGTCATGGAGGGATGTTTGGATTTGTTTTATGGCCTCCTGGTGTTCTTTTAGCACGTCATGTACCTTGGTGGCGCAGTGGGAACATATTCTTGCGAAAAAAAGGGTCGCGAGCAAGGCCAAACACAGAATCCTGAATGCAGCCCAACTGCTGCATCCGGGCCACACGTTGCTGCCAAAGCCCATTTCAGTTTTGGAGTCCTTCTCTTGCGGGGAGTCCTTTTCTTTCGAAGTGGTGTTTTGTGTTCCTTCCCTTTATTCTTCCCCTCTGGTGTCTTCTGTGTATTTCTCCCTTTCGATCTCTTCCGCTTGAGGGATGTCCGCTTGAGGGATGGCTGAGCTTCCTGAGAACCAGCGTCCCCACCATCTTCTTCTTGTGACAACTCTAGCTCTATATCCCGGTCTTCTTTCTCCAAGTCTTGGTCGCTCTCCGGGTCTTTCTCCGAATCTTTTGGCTTTTTTCCCCCTCCCTCTGCCCCTACCTCTCCCTCGGCCCCGGCCACCCCTCCCACTTGCTGGGGCATCTGGTGGCGGTGGCCCGGACGCAGGCACGAATGCTGCTGCGGCATTTCGGAACTTCTTCTGCGCCTCCATCGAAGGACCGGCGGTAATGAGCAAATCAGAAAAAGCAGTTGGGCAGATGCTGCTGGGCTCATGGAAGCAGTTGAAGGGATTAGAGAAACATGTTCCCAGCAACCTTCATGTCAGCCGAGCTCTAAGATATAAATACGGGTTTCACCTGGAAGCACTTCATGGTTTAACTGCTAGGCTTTGGGAAGTCGTGAGCCCAGACCTTGCTCTGGGTCCAGTCACGCCTTAATCCTGGGGTTGTTGCAAACTCGAATGAGGTTTTGGCCTGTGCCTTGACTGCCTTGACCCAATTTGGCTCCAGTCAGAGCAGTGTAGCTGTTTGTAAAAAAGAAGACTGGAGGCCACCCCTCAAAATCACATGAGTGGACTTTAGGCTTTGTGGATGAACTTTGAACACCAAGTTTGCCATTCAATTTAAACGCAGCCCATGCGATCCTTTAGGCTTGCTGCTTGCGCGGGTGACGTGTATGCCTACAATTCATGAACCATTTGCCCAGCCTCCATGATATCATGTTCAGAGGCACCCTCAGCTTGGTTCAATTTGTTGATGGACTCCTCTGCGGCCTTCTGCAAGGTTTCCGGTATCGATCGAACTGGGAAAGGTTTCTCCTACAAATTCGGGGTGATTCAGGTATAGCATGAAAATCCTGAGCCAAAAAAGAACCGTGTGTCAAGGTCTTTCAAAAATCAAAGTCCTTTCTGGTCGGCCGCCGCTCATCATCAAAATCGGGTATGACATCAGTGACCTTGCGCTTTTCGTCATCAGGATCGACACCTGGGATTGCAGCTGAGCAGTGCTCTGAGCAGTGTGAAGGCACGAGGGTTGGTTCTGGGCGGGCTGAGGTCATACGTCCTTCAGGTTTCAGAAACTCACACCAAACCGCTGGCTGAGTTTTTTGATCTATAAGTAGGCCAACGTCTTTATTTGTTGGTGGGAACTTGGACCCTTGGCTTGTGTGATCAGTGATCAGCCAGAGGCACATTGATCAAATACCCGTGGAAACTCGTCCTCTGCCTCCTCACCCTCGTGGCCCGCAGTTGAGTCACTATCTTCACCTCTGCTGCGAACCTTTGAACCTTGGCAAGATGGGCGCTTCATGGCAGTGCGCCAAGATTAACCACGACCATAAACATATCACGGATGATCAACCCTTTACAGCCAAGACCGGAATTTCTAGCTCACTGGAAAAAACCTTTTCACCATGATCGATATAAAAACTCTGTTTCTATCCAGATGATCAAACCAAACAGGTCGGTCCGTCAAGAAAGATGCTATTGTTGCACGAAAAACTCGAATTCAATTGCATCACGATGGACTTCTCATGGCGGATCTCTTCAGCAGTTGGATAGTCCTTCTGACTACCTGTGTTTGGGGTATCCTTTTTCTTGTTTTTGGAGAGCTGGACTTGGAACCGGATCTTTTTGGCTGGCTCGGGCTCTCCAATCTCAAGGCCTGGACCATCGCTTTCAACTTCGCCATGTTGGGGTGATTGGTCCTGGCACCGTGGCATCAAAGATGGAATGAAGGGAAACTTGGGAACTACGCTGGGCTCAGGATATTGGATCGGGGCTCCAGGGTTCCACAACAATCGCACAGTCGCCAACAGTCCTGTGAATGTCAGGGTTGCGGTTCGATCTTCTGACAAGATACTGCATGAACCCCCTGTGTAGGTTTGCCTCTCGGGATGCCCAAGCCTGACACAAACTAACAAGAGGGTAACAAACAAAACGAGTTGGGCTGCAGGTTCATCAAATACAAACGCAAACAGATCATGATGAACTGCCTGTCGACTGTTACAACGTTTCTAGGTGAACTTGCCTCGATATCTTTAAAGGTTGCGGTCTCTCCCAGCAAAGCATGTCGTTGGGCAACTCGTACCAAACTCTCCTCCGGGGAGCCTCAATTGCGGGGCTACGAGGACAAGGGGCCCGAATCAAGCACTGCAGACCTGCTAGGTAGCCGCCCACTCAGGAAACATGCCAGAAATAGGGCGCTTCGACATTAAAATATACCTGGCAGCTCGTTGGAGGCACGTTTGCCCCAATCGTTGCCAAGAGCTTCAGGAGAAAGGCGCAGTTGTTGTCATCACAGACCTCCAGCTGCCAACAAATACGCAGCGGAAGCATGCAACCAAGTGCCCCAATCATCCTGGCCCTTCTGTATGTCGTACCTATAGATATACATGCACCTACAATCCACACACCTCCTGGTACCGTGCTACCCCTGTCTTGTGATCTTGCAGGAGTCCATCTCCCCAGCCACCAGACCCCTCTTTTGAAAGTTTAAGCTTCCCAGCATCTGCAGAAGTGATAGCTGCGGAAGTGGAGTCGTTCACGAACGTGAAGAGCGCCGGGGCCTGCAACATATGATTGATCATGAATGGCCAGGCAAACTGACCCAAATGGCTATCACTGAACACTTCGACACAGCAGCTTTCACACCACACCACAGTCTTGTGTTGTCCTCGCCTGCTTCTTCTCTAAAGCTACGGAAACTGCATGTGGTGGCAGCCCTTTCTTCTTGGCCAGGTCATGGAATCGCTGTACCTTGTACTCGTTGGTTTGGAGGTAGGAATCATAGAACTCCTCAAGGGACCAGGGCCAACATCAACCCAAATCCAGGGAAGGCTCAATGTTCCCCAGGCAACCCATTTGAAAAGAACTTCAAGACCAAACCAGAGTGGCACACAACCTTTGGGCAACCCATCCTCCAACAGCTGAACATATGTTCTGTTGGGCTTGGCTCGGGGCATGGCTCAGGATCTGGACATCGAGACACGCACGCCCCGACGCCACGACAAAAAAAGAGCTGGGCAGCTGCGTGTCGGGCTCAGATAAACAGATGCCGGCATCAGCCTGCAGTACCTTGATCTATAGGCATGTTGGTATGAAAATCCCAGATGTACCGGTCTCAAGCAACTGCCAACTGAAATCAGGCCAGGTTTACTGGGCGCGTAAAGGCTTCTACCAAGCCTTTCTTCCAGGTCCAGCAAACGCGCTGCATGAAGAGCTTTCCGAGCCATTCAGCACGCGTCTTGAGCCACGCGCACTGCAACACGAAGACCCGGTTGGCTGTTCATCCATCTTTTGCTCATGATCATGAACCAGGTTTCAAAGCCCCTAAGCATGTCAGCCTTTGTGCCGAGGGTGTGCACCTTTTGAGGTCCAGGACCCCAAAAAGTAACAGTCACAATCATCCCTTGTGAGGTCCTGTTTCTCGCAATTGCCGAGGACCCTGAAAAGTAGGGTCCTGGACTGTCAGGGATATATATATATATACTCTTCCACCTATTATGAAACTGTGCATGCCGCCCACCTCATAAGCATGCTTTGAGATGATGAGCATGCAGCAGGTGACGGCCACGTAGCCTGTCACGGCTCGGGCACCAACTACACACACATATACACAGCACCTGTGATTCTTTTTCACTCATGACTCATTATATATTAATATGTTCTGTTCTCTTTCTCTCTCTCTCTCTCACCCTCTCTCTCTCTCTCTCGCTGTCTCTCGGGCTTAGCAGTCGCGCTGTCTCACACAGAGACGCCCGCGTGGCGTGCCAGCTCATAGCTCAACATGGGTGTACACAAATATGCACACATAATCACACATATATGTGACCATTCGCAAAATTAAAGTGGTGCCACTGCGAAACCAGCATTAATGCGTGGGTTTCCCAGGCATCACATTTACAAGGCCACACACACGTCTTGCCACACAAACCCTCAGCGCAATCAAAACGAATGCTGTCTAGCAGCGAGCTTGAAAGGAATTGAAACCCTTGAATCGCAGTGGAAACAGCAAGCTCTCCTTGGTTCAACAAATGTTGCACCGAATGGAAGTGGTTTCAATATGTCTCCTGCGTGCATTGGCCCTTCTTAACATTGTGAAACTGCAACAAGTTTCATCATGTCTCATCTAATTATACGTGATCTCCGGCAGTGAGCCATCACTACCCGTAGGTTTCTGGGCCTGTGGTTATAATATGTTATAATATAGTGGCCCACAAGTGAAGCCGTCACTTGAGTAAGGTTGTTTAAGAGCGCGAACCTTAAGTGCTTCACTTTACAGTTGAATGCAGTTGATTCATACAATGCTTCTGTTGCTGCTAAAATATAAGCATACGGACAAGCTGCAATAGCCACTCATCATTGCAAAGCAACTTTGGAGTGGATTTGAGTACTGTAGAGTACAGTAGACCTTCTTCATTGAGCCAAGTTGCACTTACAGCAATTGAGCCCCCAATGACCAGCAAAGATGTAAGAATCTCTGAAGAGTTGTCACCCTGATGCATGCCACAAAAACAAAAAGGCAGCCAGTGACATGCATTGAGCATTTAGATTACACAATGGACAATTCCGATGTTCTCAGGTCATCTCCGGGAATGCGCTTTTTGCTTGTTTGCTTTTCGGCCTCTGATGCGAGGAGGGCCACGAGCTTGACCAGTTGGAATCCCACAATCACGACCCAAGTCACCATGCGCACCTCAGGTCTTCTCGGGCAAGTCGCTTGCGGTCTTCTTCATGGCGCATGGCGCATGGTTCGCACGTTCGAATCGACCACTTGGGCATTTGTTCTCGCAAAGAATGAACTGTGAGCTGAGGTCTGTGGCAAGTTCATGTTCCCGGCTGCCGGTGCACCAGGATGTGTAAAACCATGAAAGCTTCGACACGAAGAGGTGACAACGAGAAGAAAGCCGCGGCTACTTTAGCCAAATATTGACCCGCACTGTGGTCAGCTCATTGAGACATAATAATAATGTTCCAAACAAAAGGTCTACAAGTTATGCACGGACTATCTCTCAGGCAATCTACATCTTCATCTTCTGTACATGTTCTGGGAACCAAATGGAGCCATGCGGATTGAGGTTCATGCAATTTCAACTGTCAAGTTGCTGAAACAAAGAACTGGTTGCCACTCGTTTCATCGAAGATCTGGCAAAAGGCCTCGAGGAATGAAAGAACGCTTCAGGTTGCACTACTGACAATACTCTTCTCACAACAGTGCGATGACCGCCCACGTGCCTGAACCAAACAACAGCAACATGCTGATATGTTTCCAACAAAGGCTCGGGCGAATTCGTTGAAACTGTCCTGCCTGTTCGTGCAGTTTCGAACGGAATTGGAGTGAAATCATGTTGTAGTAGAACCTGAGCTTCTTCACAATGGCATCGAAGTGCTGGGGTTGTTTGTCTCATTCATTGCATCCACCTTCGAACCACCATGAGCATGGTTTTCCATGCTTTTCCAATCACCGAGAGCCGCACTCTGTGGTGTAGCGATCCTTCTTGGTGAAGCGACTCGGCCTGCAAGGCATGGACCAAGATGTCAACGGAGTTCGCAGTCAAAAACACTATAGCTAGTTATTTGCCGACAAACCTTGGTTGGAAAAATACATAACCTTCTTAAGGCAACCACACTACCTACTTTTCTTTCCAGGACTGCACTGCTTCAGTCCACTCAGTTCCCTCAGTAGCAGAAACGGTACAAGCGATGTCGCAGTTACACGTCTCAGATTCAAACAAGAAAGGCAACATACAAAATATACAAAACTCATCAAAACTCTTACCTGCATGCTGCAATTTCTGCACTCCCGGACCTTCTGCTGCTCTCCGCGGCTGGCGTCGTTGCATTATGTTCAACACCCTCGTCCTCCATGGTCCGCTCCTCGAGCTCTTCAAGATGGAGCAATTCCCGTTGCATGCCTGCGCAAGAGTTCTGGCAGCTTCCGCGGGATCAGGGTTTCAAATCAAACAGGTCACTCCCAACCGTCGACGACTCAATGACTGCTAGCATGGTATATACACATGAGAATGGAGGGGACGAAAGCCAGCCCTCGTAGAGACTTGGAACAACAAGAATAACATAAACTTTGAACTGGTGTTTGTCAGCCAGCTGCTTGCGGAGACCTAGCTCAATCCCAGAAGATAGCGCTTCTTTGCTGATGTCCCTTTTTTATCATGTTTCTTCGTGACAAAAAGCGACGGAGGAACCATACACACAACTAGACCGCCGACTGCATGGCCACTTTGTGATGCTAATGATGCACCATTCAGCCCTTTCGGCATCACTCGCATCACCAAGGCACTGATAAAAATGCATTTTCACTTTGACCTTTTCGCTGCAACTACCACCCAACCCCCACACCCCCCAATACTAACTTTGTTCGCCCATCAGGCAGCCTATCGACTTGCTTTTGCAATAATGTATAGATTGGTCTAAAGACACCCCACTGGGTTCGCACAACGTACCAGTTCATCAAACAAATTGTAAAGCTGTAGCTGTTCTATTCGTGAAGCTTCAGGCTCAATGATCAACATGATCAACACAACCTCTACCTCAAATGTGTTTGAGTACTTTCTGTTATGAAGTCAGAATTCAGAATTGCAAGGATGGCCATCCCCGGCATCCTGTGCTCAGACTAGCTTCGTTGGGAGTAGTTGGCTAACTAAGTAGATAGTCATCCAAGCACACTGCCCCTCGTTTTCAGTACCAACTGAGTTCATACAAATCCCAGCATGCAAAAGCAAATCCCAGCATGCCCTAGCATGTGACTCAAGGTGTAAGGCAGTATGTAAGACAAGAAAGTCAGAAGTCTGAAAGTTCTTGGAAGCAGCTGTTGATGCACACTGGGACAAATTCGTGTACAACAGAACGAAATCCTAAGATGGAGGGCGGATGAATGTGGGACAGGTAAACGAAGAGCCCACACTTCCTGAGTGGTGTATGTAATCCTTTTGATTTACATTGATTTACTAACGCGGGTCTTGCTCAAGTTTCAAGCAATGCAAACCTGTAATTCCAGGCTGGACACAAACACACACACACACACACACTGATCAAAGTTTCACTCGTTTCTCCTGTGTGCGTCCAAATCCCGGCCCTTGCCTGCACTTACGGCGAGCCGGTCTGCCACGCCCTGAAAATTGATACATGCATCTTGCCCTCCTCCACCCAGTACATCAGACATCCTGAGGAACTGGGCCGTCTGGGTTGACACTGCATTTGACATTTGGATTTAGTATATAGACCGACTCAGGAGTAAAGGTGTCAAGGTAATTTATATATATATAGATTGCTCAAGTCGACGTGCTCCAACCCAAATGCATCCAAATGCGTTGAATAGAAGTCACTGCAGTCACTCCGAGCAAAATCCAACTGTATCGAACCACGCACGCACAACTCCTGCACACACATACCTTTGAGCACTGACCTGGTACGCAGCCTGCTTGATCTGAGGCAAGGCAGTTAATCTTCTTCGCCTTTGGCCACTCTGATTTGAAGTATTTAGGCAATTTATGACCCCTTCTGCTAGCAACGAGGCGCATGCTTATCTCGCAGAAAACGCAAAGGTCTCACGTCGCTGCATCTCAGCAACATTGCACAAACTGCAGCATCCTGGTGACCCTGGTGTTCCTTTGAGGTATCCAATGGACGCCTGGTGACCCTGGTCTGACCGTGTTCCTTCGTATCCGGACGAATCTCGGTCTCGACATGTCGTGACCGGCCTACCGCGGGCTTAGGTCCGCTAAACGCACTTGCATTATCACATTGTAGGAATAACATGGAATAACACTTCAAACACTATCCGTGCTGCAGGGACACCCGATCTATGGAAGTAGTTGCCAAACATTGATGCGCATTGGGCATTGAAATATAAAATGGTTGGCCCATATGAGAATTGACCATATGAAAGAACCATGAGAGGTGCAACTGTGCAACTATTCCATGCCAGTTGCAACAATGCAACTTGTTGTCTAGATACACTCTCTTTGTCATCTTTGTGTCTGGAGCGTATAGCCTACCTGCAGTACAGCACTCGTCTAAATGCAGTACTAGAATCTATATAGTCTTACTGGATAATTGTACAAGGGATAATCTTCCTATATAAAACAAAAACTATGAAATTGATGTTGTGTCAACTTTGCCAGGAAGCAAACTGATACGGCACCACTGCACATGATTCAGCCTTGCACGCCATTCCTCAGCTCTATTGCAACTCGTCTGACAAATCTATGATTTTTTTTCTAATAGCTGGTGGCAACAAATGCTGCTAATTGACAGCACTGTGTTGCACTGTTCAAAGCCATTTCAGCGAAATGCTAGACCGCCGTGCGATCGAGTGTCCATTGCCATGCTCACACCCAGCTTTCGTGCCCATGTCGAAGTCTCCTGTTTACAGGCCACGGAGAACGGGGATTGGAGACTGAAATGGGTGGAAAGGGTGAAAACTCACCAGCCAAAGTGTTCAAACCTTTGCGTGTGACACCGACAAACTAGTGATATGGAGCTTGTATACAGTTGTCACATTGCACTGCCCTCAAACTACTCAAAGGAAGTCTAGGGTGCAAAACTTCCGTGTTACGGACTTTCAAAAGCTCTAGGTCTAGTTAGCTCTAGGTCTAGTTAGCTCTAGTTCCAGTCAGCTCTTCAACATGCATTTTGGAGGGAAGTCTCGGACAACATGCATTTTAGGAGAGATAGCGGGCGCACGAAATGTTGTTTTTCAATACAAAGGGTGGCTCCGAACCTGGCAAGTCAAGCTCTGCGGAACGACGGTTGCGGAACGTCCTCGCGTCATGCTCGGATTATCCTCGGATCATGCTCGAATCGTCCCTCCATTGTAACTAGAGCTTTGACCTGTTTCTTGTGTACTGTTGATGGAATTCCATTGCGTTTGCAACTCCTGGATGGTTTCCGCACTGTAAATGTGACTGCAAGTGTTGCTGGTGGATGAGTCGCCGCTGGAATTTCATTGTGTTTTGCAACTTCAGGATCGCTCCCGCAATGTAAATGGCACTTTCATGTCTGGTTGGATCATGTCTTCCAGTTGCATGCGCAGTGCCAGAGCGAGTACGCCGTTGTGAGCTGCTTGCATGACGCCATCGTTGCAGGCCGGAAAAAATGGGGGTCCGCAGGGCATGTGCGAAGGGACACTCCGGACGCAGAGCTATAGGTCAAATTGTTCTTATAGGAAACTTCCGCCGCCGGATTACCGGGGAACTGCTTGTAGGATCTGTGGGCTATGGTATATAGTGAGGATCATATTCAAAAGAGTCCGATGTCGGTTCATGATGTTCCTGGTGTATGCTGATGACAACTCGTCTCCGTAGCTGGACAGTCTCCTTGGCCTTTTCTCGGTCTCTCCAGGCCAAGTCCAAAAGCATTCGCAATCCTGCATTGGAGTGAGTACTCAAGCTTCAAAGCCCTGACTCAAATTCGGAACGGGGTGGTCCGATCGAAAAACAACATACACAACTGTGGCAACTCCGTCCGGCAAATCCCGCTGCCTGGCTGTTTCAGCGGAGGATGCTTCGCACCCTGGACGAACTCCTGCGCAATTCTGAGAGTTAAGAACCGGTTGATGAACAATCTGAGCTGGTCTGGCAAGCACACGCAACTGTTCAAAGCTTTTTATAACACAAGCCACCTTATACATCCTTATACCCACATAACTAGGATTGGCCTGCACATACCTGCACCTTGCATCTGTCCAATTTTGCTGCTTCACTCTGGTTGAACTGTCCTTCAAATCTGCAGCTTCTGCACGAAAGTCTCCAGAGTTGTAGCTGCCTGGGGAAGGTGAAACAACCCAAAGCCACAGGATGCATCGTTTTTAGTCTCTTGACGTTGCTTTTGGAACGGCAAAGCTCTCTCAGTTGCTTTTCGTGACAATTCGCAGCAATGCGCTTTCTGACCTACTCAGTTCATAAGCAGTTGCCGCAAAAAGGGCATTTAGCCATAGACCCCATCACACCAGCGCAAGAAATCGGGTAGCAGCCCATCACTGCAAAAGAAAGCGCTAGTATCGCGAGCAACCTGCTCTGAGTACAGTACACATTTCATGTTGGATTGCCTGTCTTTAGCTTTTGGCAGGTCACTTGTGGTCATTCCCTTGGTGGATTTATAGAAAAAATATTCACAGTCTTCATGAATCATAAAGCATGAGTAGCTGTTGGAACCCTTTCTTTCAGTCGAGTTTTTTTCCACGCACCGCATGGCCAGGCCCAGAACTGCTCTCGCCAGGCTGCTCCGTTTGTAACCTGTCATCGCAAGACCCGTGGCATGAGGTGACAATACGGTCTTTGAGCAATTAAACATATTAGAACCTTCGTGTACCTATGGCCTGAGACAGCCTGATATGAGAAAGTCAGAAGCCTCTTTGTGCCATTGTTGTCTGTTTCGACTCGATTCGAGTCAATCACTTATAGTCAATACGAGTAGTAACTAGCACTGCGGCCAAGTAGCTCCAGGGGATAGAGCTCACGAGCGCAGCAGGAAACAACCTTTCTGTCTTGCTAACACCTGACAGCCATGACAGGCAAGAACAAAGAGATCCTTCTCAAAACAGTGCCCGGGTCGTTGTGTAGCCTCTCGGAGTGGGTGTTTGGGTGTGTCAATAGTCTCACACTGTTTGCTTGTATTCTTGGTGCTTCGAGTGAAGTTATGAAACGGGTCTGCACAACATTCGTCATCGGTGACTGGGTTCCAGTTTCGCCCAAAAAAACACCAAGGGTGAAAGCCAAGGCTCCAACTCTACGAGCTGTCATGTTCTGTTTCCCTCCTCTTTGTTCTTCCTTTCTTCTTGTTAATTCTGCACACGCGGAAAGGATGACAGCTAACACATATTTGGACTCGCAAGCCAACACTCTCCCCTATATTCCGCCCCCTCGCCTTGCGCCAAGTCTGTTTGAGTTTGCGTAAGCTGGTTAGGGTTAGCCCCCACCAGCGTCGAATTGAGACCGGCAATTGCACCCACTGGAGACCTGGCAGCTTTCTCGAGGCCAGGTGAAAGACTTCTAGATTCTATATATTGTAGCTGGATGTCGGATGGCTAAAGCCATGCAGCCATGAGAAAGAGATGCCTGGATAAAACGCTTTGAGCTTGAACCGCTCAAGCTGGCATTCTACTCGCGAGATTAGCTTTGAACATGTGAGTTGGCCAGAAATACAATCAAAGGGACAACGCAACATGAGATAATGACACCGTTTGAGGCCAAAGAGGTTGCAAATGTGACGAATGTGACGCAAGGCGACAAATGAAAATCAATGTGGTGTAGCATGTTGAGTTCAAAATAAGCTGATACAAGTTGAGCTGATGCGAAACAACCTGACGTCAAACAAACATGAAAGGTGCAATAACATTGACTCAATGCTTATATGTGCCGCAAGCCCACATGCGAGGGTCAAAATGAAATAATATGAGTTCATGAGCTGAGCCATGTTGAGTCTAAACTAACAACCTTTGAAGAAAAACGGATAGAGGTTTCAATGCGACAGGCCAGCTAAGAGACATAACAAGCGCGCACACACACACACAAGAGCAAACCACCATCAAGTACCTTCACACCATGACATGTACAACAAACTTTGTGCTTTCATCTCCCGACTAGGTGAGCTCTCGAAGCTTCCACCTTTCGGATGCTGTCACTGATGCAAAGGACTGCAGCTGTGATGTTTCACTCTTGTTTTGGGTTTGGACTCGCCCAAAAATGAAGGCTACGGCTAAATGGAAGGTGTGCGGAGAACGGGGATCAACAAACACTGCTTCTACGAAGTTAGTCCATCAAGCATACCTTCCACGCACAAGGTTCTGCGAAGGTTTCTGGGAGTTGTTACGTGGCCACCATTCCACGAAACGTCCACGAATAGCCCCGGGTTCCACGAATGTCCCGGGCCTTGCACGAAGTTAGTAGAAAAAGATTGCAAAACCCTTTCTGTCTGTTTGCCTCTGAGAACATGCGAAAGCCTCCAGTTGTTCTGAATGTCTCCCCGTTTCCACTGCCTTGGGATCACGGCTTTGAGATCTGGAAAGGAACGACTGCCTTGCACAGTCAAAGTGGTCTTTTCCCCGAAGACACTTCGGTCCTGAGGAAGGAAAGAAAGAAAGGAGAGGAATATTGGCATGTTCCAAAAACATACGTAGTATAGCACCTTCCAAAAAACCTCCAAGCCCTCTTAGAGTCTCATAGCAGTAGTTCATTTGACTTGCTGGATCTTGCTGGAACATGTCGACTGGAGCAACTGGAGAAGCATTGCACTCAATGAGTCCCTCAAGTCGGTTACTACTAGTAGGAGCGTTCGGACGCAACGAACGTAGCTCCTGGCCTTACTGGGAACAAGAAGCTACGAACGTAACAAAGGGCATCGCACTAGGAGCAAGCACGCTACGAACGTAGAAGGCAACTGTTGTTTTGCACAACGCAAGCGCCAAGCATCCACAAAGCTTGGAGATGGATTCAGCGTGGTGTGGCGATCAGTTCGGACCTTGTGGGCAAATGGTGCGCTCGGCTTCCGAGTTGTCACCATTCATGTTTCATGACTTTCTACACCTGACCTATATACCGTGCGATGGGCACGGGTTGTTACATGCAAAAACGCTTGTAGGTGAATGTCCATGAATTTAAATATGTAGCAGCAACATGTTGGTGGACTTCTGCATGGAAATGTATGTTGGCATCACACTGTAAACACTACTGTAAACATTAAACATGCATACGTGTCTGTCTGCACGTGCACTAACCTCCAAATGTGCGCGAGAGACCCAAAAAAGCAAATTAAACCTGCACGCTCTAGGATGGCTGTTCCAAAAAACTTGGCCTCAGCTTCTGGGAAGCATGTCTTCATCCGCTGAAACTCCTGCAGGAAGCAACATGAGACATACCCACTCGAAATGAAACGTTGCTGCACATTGCCTTGCCAAACTCTGTGCTTCCTGTATCTCTTGACTCTGTCAATTTAAGCCTGTCACTGCCTCCAAACAAAACTGTTTATACTTTTTGGTAGAGTGTTGGTGCCTACGAACAGGTCAAGGATAAAATACAAATTCTAAAGGTCTCAAATGTATTTTTGCACACTTTTCTTTGAGGAGCGCAGGACATCAGGTCACAGTAGTAGATGTTTTAATCTGTTTATCGTCTGGAATCTGGAAGGGAACACTGGTAACAATGTCAGTATGTACAGGTGCTTTACTAGTAGTAACAAGAAGCTAGTAGAAACAAGTGCCACGCTAGTAGTAACAGGTGCCTTACTAGTAGTAAACCCAAATGTCACGAGCGATTGAACTCTCTCCTGCACACGGGTCACTAAGTCAGGACGCTTTACACGGCGCCACGAATCCATCGCCAGCTCCACCAAAACCTTGGGACCGGTAGTATTCATGGCGTTCAACCCATCTGGATGCTCAAGAAGCACAGTGCTAAGCTTATATGTTGCTATGCAACAGCAATTGCAACATGATCTGCACATTTGGAAGGATTTGGCCCACTGTGGCCGGCTGCGGCGTGAGGGCCGCTGTTGTACACTGGGTCAGAGGCTGTAAACCATCATTGTTTGGGATACAAGAACCATATGTTTTCCGGCTCAACTTTGCCTGGGTAGCTTGAACAACTGGTGACCCAATTCTGCATCATGTTGGAACATACATCCAGAATATACAGTATCCAATTCTCACTTGGTTGTTGGTTCTCCGCTCTCACGGCACGCCCGAAAAAAACATACATTCGCTGCCTACCCCGTAAATCTTCTTGCTCTCTCGATGACATCAGTTCACATGTGGTGGTGACAGTTCGTCTTCGAACATGTCAAGCGGACACATCCCGGTGTTAAGCTGCGGAACGGACAAAGCAAGAACCAGGACCAGGCTCAACCAACCTGGCAGCGACTCGAAGATGTTGAAAGCCACCTGGGACGGCCATAAGGAGTGTCACCAGCAAGCGCTGACGAAATAATCAGCTTATTTGCTTCATGATGGAGCACAAGGAAGGAACCGAAGTGCCTCGTGGAAGGACGGATTGAGCAAGTTGGCCACTGAGGGAGATGAGTAGATGAAGAGTATTGGCCTGAGCAGCTTCGGGAACTCTTGTTTAGCAACTTAGCCATCTTTGCAAACATAAGAAAGGCGAATGCAAAAACTTGAAACGGCTGTCTTCGCAATGGCACTAGTCACGAATCTGACTGGTTTCCATCTTTCCTGGAAAACATTGGACTAGACTTAGACAGAAGCCGAAACATTTCGCGCAAAAGGTGCAGTTCTGCAACGGTCAAACGTGTCGCCCAAAACATCCCAAAACCTGTTCGATCACTGGAGTTCGACGGGCTGCGGGAAGAGCATCACCGAGATGAGCGAGATCAAAATCTGCCAATCCATCCAGACCTCTCTAGGAACAAGTGCATCGCTACTAGTAACAAGTGCCTTACTAGTAACAAGAAGCTAGTAGTAACAAGACTTAAATAGAAACAATAGCTGATTTCTATCCATCCTCTATTCGATGCCACAAACCGTGTTTCCAGATGGGGAAATAGCTATGACTGCGGCGATAGGCTGAAACGCATCCCGCGACATGTATCTATGTGTTTTGTTGTTGCCAAGGTGGCCGCCCATTGGTAATGGAATTCGGTTCATGATGCTTTGTGCAACTTTCCCCTAGCACCTGCCACTGAACACCCTGCTGGCCGGCTGTTGGGGTAAGCCCCTGAATTTGCCTGGATCCTTGAGAACTGAAGGATATGACTGATATAACATGATATAACAACAAGCAGGCCGAACCCCGATGCCATTTGCCTGTGCATGGAGAAGCAGCGTAGAGTTTGCCACCACAACGCAGCTCCAATAGGACCAAGTTCCCAAAGAAAGGTAGTCCGGAAAATTTGCATGGCCGCCGCCCCTCAGGGTCAAACATTAGACCCTTGAGGTTTGTCACAAGCAAAGCATGATCACGATGAAGGAGATATTGGTGGAATGAGCATAAAAAATCAGTGTGTTAAGAACGTATACTTCTTGGAGTCGCGTGTCATGCGGGCCAAGGTTAGAGTAGTAGTAGCATGGTGGAGGGCATAGCAAGATATCCGATGTCAGGACTGTAACTGAGGCCCCCACAAGCCGCCCAAAAAGACCGTTGCAACAAAGAAATTCAGCAGCGCGTGCACAACACCGCGGAAAAGCCAAGCGCCCAACATCCGGTAATTGAAGTAAACCTGGCAGAAAGAGAAACACAACGAAGCGGATGATGACAGAAGGGGTGGGGCATTGCTGGGTTCAGCCCAAGTCGCATGATGTCACATGTATGCTGATGGGCGGTCATGGTAGTTGAATGTATTTGATGTGGTCCCTAGAATGGGCAATGCAGAACCAATTCCCTAGCCTACCTGCCCAGAATATCCGCCTGCAAGGTTGACAATGTCTTCCAGGAGTGATCCAGGAACACACTAACCGAAGCTTCGGCGGGTGCTGCTGTGTAAGTTCAGTTCCCACTGAGACCGAGCCAGTGCTACGGAACTTACAGCTTTGACGCTGGCTTAAAGGGCCAATGCCCAGCCGCCCTCGCAAACACAAGCACATCAACGTACCCTTTGGCACCTTGTTGACACCGAAAAAGTAAAGCTTTGGAATAGCAAAAGCAGCTGGCGCATACACATCCACATCTAATGAGCCAACAATGAAAATCGGCACACTTGTGAAGACCATGTTGTACCTCGCACCAGCTGAAAGAGCTGTAGATTCCAATGCGAGAGAACTACTGTACTAAAATATGAATCTCATCTCATTCTGGAGCATTGAATCTCCTTCGGATTAGTGTCTTATGATGTCTTTTGTGTCTTGAAGAGTTGCTGAAATAATCTTTGCAACATGCACCGTAAGGCCTCTGTTCGGACCGCCAAGTGACATCATGAGCACATAGGAGTCATAGAAGGTCGTGCCACTCAAGCCATTCCATGGAGCATAGCAAGCCATACACAGCACCAGCAAGAAATTCTTGTAGAAAGAATAGCCTCAAGAAAGAATAGCTCTGACCAACTACGTTGAACGGATCGTTTTGGGGCAACCCACTCGCTTTGCACACCGTAAATTCAAGCACGTCAACACCAATCCACAGAGTAAGGGTCATGACATGGCAGCATAAATCTTGGTGAGCTTGAGATAACACTCCCCTCCAGCATGCGCTGGCAACAATCCCAATCCCAACATTAATAAATTATTATATATATAATTAATCTGTAGTCTATAGTTATATAATGGCTCCATTCGCCCTCTTGTTATACTTTAAGACCTCGCTTGCAAGCTAGGCGCCAATGACCATGCCAATTCGTCGAATGTTGCTCCGGCCGTGCAAGAAAATGAGAGACCTTGCAGTGGCAGGCAAAAGTCTCTGACCTACGAAGTATTGACAGCATCAGCCCTTTGACATATCATCTCCCATTTCAATAAACCCAAAATGTTTCGTTTTGCGGCTGCTTGTTGTTGCCCCTTTAGTCAGTTTTCATACACTCACATGACCCATGATATCACTGCTTACGGAAGGACCTGCAAGTGTACAAAGCACCAAGAGTCTAGTGCAGGTCTGGGCTGCCATCCCGCCCAGGCCAATTACAAACAATCCATCCAGAAACTGCCATAGGCGCTGGCTCACTGCAATGTTTACTTGGCAAACACCAAGCAAATTGGACTGTCCATGAGTATCTGTGAGTCCTATAGTCGCATATAGTCGCAAACACGTGGTTTCCCAAAGCTCCTTCTCAAACCCAAACTAACAAATACACACCAAGCGCGATTTCAATCATCTCAACCGATCAGGACCAAGCTACCGTAAAAAACGAAACTGTGCAATGGCAAAGTCGGAGGCATTAACAGCTTCACGACCCTCAGCTCCAGCAATGCCCACGCCAACGTGTGCCTTTTGGATCCTTGGTGGCGAGATATGACACCATGTGCACACCCAGACCAAATCCAAGCGACATGCTCACGTCATTGCCACCATCACCAACTGCCAGGGTCAAAGGGTTGCCTTGCAATGTCAGGAAATATTGCTGAACGTCGAATTATGGACATTACAAAGTGTATGATTCAGATCAAATACCTGCTGAATGGTCCAATTCTTACATCATCCGCAGCAGCCTAGCACAGCCCTTCTGGAGCAATTTCTGTAGTGGGCGGCATGCCCACAACCATGCGGCCAATTCAGCAACGCTCCGTCTCATTGTATCAAGCTGCAATTCAAGGATGGTCTTGATTTTATAGGAAACTGTACCCCTTGCAAGAAATCATAGGAGGGTCGGTAGCTAGAGTTGCGCAAACAATTCCATCACTCTGGTCCAGGAATTGTCCACAACATTCCACAACAAGACACAAAAAGGAAAAAACATATCCACGACACATCTGAAGGAACTTACATGAAAACACTTGTTATGATTCCATCTATTCTATCACATTCTGCAATTCAGGTCTTAGATTAAATGTTCAACCAAACATTTCCGTCATACCCTTGGATGAATCGGTTGTCCACCGATGCCCTTCTCGGACCGCTGAACCAGCCTGGCACTTCCTTGCGGATCAATTCAACGATGCCTGCTTTTTGTGCTGGTGACAGCCTGCACGCAATGACCTGCACATGTCACGCAAAGTCAACACTTTTTTGGCCAAATAAAATGGACACCCACCCTGACAACGCAAGCTGCGCAGCTTTCGCGACTAGTCGTGCCAAAGTGCGGAGCAGGAGTTGCAGGCCACCGTGACGAAAAGACGCTGAAGCAAAACTTCAGAATCCTTGGCATGCTTTAATCAGATTCATCCTTTCCTGGTTGCAATGTATAGTCATCCTGGAGGAGACAGAACATGAAGAAATCAAGGAAAAAGGTAATGTTTTTGGATTGGTTCATACCCTTTTCCACTCCAGGATGTTCCAGGACGGATGGTTGTACAGTTGTACATCTTTGGATGTCTTCGGGCTTGCCGGTTGCAACAAAATTTCCAGCGAAGCATGTTCTTGGATTTGCTGAAGGAACCTGGAAGAAAAACAAGTATATATATGACTATTCTCCAGAAAGGATTCACCCATATGGAAAATATTGAAAAACAAAAAATCACCATATATAAGCAAAACCAAATGTTTGATAGTGTTTGCATGTCACATCATGAACGAAGGCACGATGGATCCAAACACAAAAATAAGGTTGCACCATTTTTGCCACAACGAGCAGCTTTGTTCTGAAAATGGTGAACAACAAGCAGTACCAAAAAACAGCACGCCTCATCACACCTGAAAATGCCAACTGCATGCAAGCAAACATAGCTCCAATTCATGTGATGTTGCGCATCAACCAGCCCACTTGACGCTCAAGCTGGTTCCGCATGGCTCCGCTGTTTCACGTTTTGCAGGACTTGGCTCGTCCAGAATCGCGTAGAGGGCAGTTCCGTTGATGACTAAGCCTTGGGCGCCCGAGTGTGCCGCGTTGACGCGAAGGATTCATGCAATGTATCTAGAAGAAATAACGTAATATATCATATGTATAACCTTTCCCTTCCACAAAAACCATGCCACCCGAATGCATGGTCGCAGGTCCTGTCATGTTCTGTCTATGTTTGATTTCGATTGGAAATGATTGGAGCAGTGCTTGTAGTGTGCCTAGTTTTTGGCGGACACCTCTTATGCCAACGAGCAACTAAAGCTGAATGTCTTATCTTCACTAATCTCCACATTTTTGACGATGTCATCCACAATGGTCCTGTGTGAACTTGGCTGGAGGCGACATGGATGAGTCAACATCGACACAACTAGGACAGTGCAGCAACAGTCAACAGTTCTTGAGTTGGAGGAAGTCCAGTGGTAAGCATCTGTTTTGGAAGCCCTGAATGAATCATTTCATCATTGACATTCATTGACTAGTGAATCCTTTCATCATTATTTTTTAGATACGAATATTAAACTTTATGCATATCGCCACTTGCCTTGACGCAGCACAGTTGTTGACAATCATGATGCCCAAACAGCGATTGTGATCAATAAGACTGCGATGTTGACAGAACAGGCCATCTGAATGACAGAGCAACCCCGTTGCGATAAGTCTATCTATTTGTGAACCGCCCGGATTGGAACCCATGTGCCCTCTGAGAACAGTGTTCAGAACTGCGCAAAAAACGAACATCGTCGTCGCTGTCCTCAGCCTGCTCTGTAGCTCTGTTTTCAGCTCAGGGGTCTCCTGGTCATTTTCAGCTCAGGCATCTCTACTAGGTGGAGGCCATCGCTATTAGGTAGGCGGCCATCGCTATTAGGTTGGAAACCATCCCTAGTAGGTTGGAGGCCACCCCTAGCAGGTTGGAGCCCTTCCCTATTAGGGTGGAGGCCATCGCTACCAGGGTGGAGGCCATCACTACTAGGAACAAGAAGCTAATGTAAAGACCTGATTAAGAACCCACCCCCCACATGGTAGGTCAACAAGGTCAAAGATACGAGATACCATTCATGAGGTGGTAGTAGTAGTAGTAGTAGCAGTAGTAGTAGCAGCAGCAGCAGTAGTAGTAGTTCTAGTATCAGTAGTAGTAGTAGTAGTAGTAGTAGAAGTAGTAGTAGTAGTAGTAGCAGCAGTAGCAGTGGTAGTAGAGTAGTAGTAGTGATAGTGGTACTACTAGTAGTAGTAGTAGTAGTAGTAGCAGCAGCAGCAGCAGCAGTATTTGTTGTAGTGGTAGTATTGGTGGTAGTCCTGCTCGTAGTGGTAATTGTAGTAGTCGTAGAAGTAGTAGGAGGATGAGGAGGAGGAGCACCCAGTGACACAGGATCAAGTCAATAAGGGGTAGTAGTGCAAATTATTGAGGGGGGACCGGGCCTTGTGAGGGGTACCCTTTGTGAGCTTCAAAAACGATTGCTTTTTGGTTTTAAAGAAATTTGTAGGCACTGAGCCCTGGACCTTTTTTTGGGGGGGGAGATTTTCATCAGAAAATCAGTAGTAGGTAGTAAGTAGTACGTAGTAGGTAGTGCGTAGTACGTGGTACGTAGTAGGTAGCAGTAGCAATAGCAGTAGCAATAGCAGTAGCAGTAGCAGCAGTGGCAGTAGCAGCAGTAGTAGTAGTCGCAGCAGCAGCAGCAGCAGCAGGAGCAGCAGCAGGAGTAGTAGTAGTAGTAGTAGTAGTAAGAAAAAACTACCTAGTTACTAGTTACTTGTGTTACTTGTGGACTCGGATTAACTGGGGGGGGTTCTGGCACCCAACTAGACAATTAGGGGGAAAATTAGCCACCAATCCTACTTTTAATTTGGGCAATTTCCAGGGGCTTTGTGGGCTCGGCTTAACTAGGTGAGGCTTATTCTTCAACCCATCCGCGATGCCCAATGGACCAGTCCAGCATAACCTTCCACAAGAGCGGTCCTCAAAAGTGAGGTAGTACATCGTGCACTGCTTTTCCACAAGTCGGCAAATAGTTGCCATATTCACAGCTGTCTCCACTGAATCACCTCAAGCTTTTGAGCAGGAAAAGTTTCCAATTGTTTGGATTTCCTGATCCACCAGCGTGGCGCTTGGGCCACGGCTACTATCACAGTGATGCTGAATTCACTACAGCTTGCGGTCATTGACTACGGAAAGATTTAGTGGCCCCTAGTAGCGTCCTTGCTCCTAGTAGCGATGCCAGGAGCCCCTAGTAGCGTCCTTGCTCCTAGTAGTAAGGCCAGGAGCCCCTAGTAGCAAGGACGCTACTGAGTTCACACCTTTGCGGCTCAAGCAACAGACTTTGAATGGACATGATCGCCGGCCTGTCAGCATCCAAACTCGAATTCCACCAGCAAGGAGCATCTTCACCTGCACCAAGGAAAACCAGGGGTCTGGCTGGATTTGCTGTCTCTCTCCTGATGTTGCTGGAGCACTCAACTGAGACTCCATCGTACTCTCCATCGTATCTATTCTCAGAAACGGCCCGTTTCTATGAAACAAACCCTGTGGCCAACAATTGTGCGGCATTATCATTGTGATATCTCAGCCAGTAAGCATGAGACACACAAGACCGCCCTGCTGCGTCATGTAAGGTGTAAGGAACAAAAGAAGGTTGCACCGTCTCGGGAACGCCAATCTGAATCTTGTCTTCGACCGCTGTAATGCCAAGCAAGTCAAAGTCTTTCTCCATCTCGTTGACGACCTTACTCACAGAATCTCACAAAACAGCCCAACCAACCACTTGAGATAGTACGTTTTTCCGCGGAACAAAAATCAAGCCATTCCACACAATTGCAACATGTATTGCCCTGTGACAAACACGCCGTGCCAAAACCCATGTCAACGTCATTTAAGCAGGCAAAGGTGGCCACTGTTATTTTGGCTGATGCCTCGTCTGCACAACGCCCCTTTGAAAGCAAGCTCCTGGCCGTCATTCTCGCAAGAGCACCCCGGCTTGCGCTGTGATCTACAGGCGTCATGTGCGCGATTGTGCAGCATTTGTTTTCCCCCTTCAGGAACTGTGAATTAGTACGAGGACCTTGTCTGTACAGTTGTCCTGTTCAAAAGTCTTGGCTAGTGCAGCCAAGATTGAGCAAATACGCAAATTAGGTTTTATGGGAATACTGATTGGGCTGCAGATCCGGCCACGGCTGCCAGTGCCAAAGCAAAACTTGTTTCTGGCTCCTCCGAGGACTTCACTGAATTGCAGGAGCCACATGTCCGAGAGACACATGAACGGCAGGCCCTGCTGTTGGCATCACCTGCGCAAAAATCCAAGCAATTCCCAACAGTACACTGAATCTTCTTCCCGATGCAGCTGGCACAGAAGGCGGCGACGCCCTTCCCCTCCAAACAAGTTGCTGAACATTGTGCCCGGTCTGCATTTGAGTAGCACTGAGTACCGCAAGTTTTCATCAGATCCTGGCTCTCATAGCAAGCAGCACTACGAGTTGTCCCTGGTGTGACCATGAAGCCCCGATGAGAGGAATCAGACGAATTAGATTTGGCAGCTGTGGTCAAAAGCGTCTTGAAGGACATGATGTTGTCCGTGATGTCATCAATGGAGCACCCGATGCTGCAAGCACTGCCAGACGAACCGCAGGTTGCCCCGGCTGCGGCGACACATGATACGCATTCCGTTGCGCTGAGGTTGGCACCACAAACGCCTTTGCACGTGTTCGCATAGCATGCTGCCTGCCCTCCAAGACATGCCAAACAGCTCAGGGGGTCAGCCCCGGCATGTGCCATGGAAAGGCCGCAAAGCACCAATAGAAACCCAAGCATTGCGCTAGCAAGTATCAGTGACTACTGCACCTACTGTACGTTGTTGTAGACGTCGGCTCGAGACAAATGTTGCAAGTCGAGTCAAGAATGCAAATGCAACAACATGAAAACAACATTTAACTTATATAATCCCAGAACAACATGACCCGGTACCCGCGACTCGTTTGCTGGTTGTCCTCAAGTTGCAGAAACTTGCAGCTTTGATCAATGCAGCCATGTTTGCGTCAGCCCACACCCGCACCGAACTGCAAGCGAGAAACCTCTGCCACTTTTTCATCACCTGAACCAGTCTTGTGCCAGGGACAACGCTAATAAAATCTAATCAACACCAACAAAGCAAAACACCAGAATTCTTTTGTCGAGGAACCTTTGCCTTAGGCTGCCGGCACTGTCGCTCTGGAACCTTGTCCAGCCAAGTTGCGTTTGAAGAAGGATCGCGTTGCTGCTCCGTGTTCGTGGATGAGGCGTTCAGCTTCTGCATCAGGAATCCTTATGACAATCGACATCTACCACTTTGATACCAAATCATTGCTGAACTCTTGCTTTGCATATGGTCCATGTGTTGAAGCTTCAATGAGTGCCATCTTTGTTATCCATTCATGTTTTGGATCCACAGAGACGACATTTGGCTGGAACTAAAACAAGCCCGCCCGCGCGTGTGATGCGGATCGGATTCGGCGAGCTACCGATGTTTCAACACATAGTATATGACAACCAGAGTGTGGGAAACTCAGGCCCTCCCACCCTCCTATACAC